ACTAGTGACCCGAGGTCCACGACTCTAGTGACCCGAGGTCCACGACTCTAGTGACCCGAGGTCCACGGCTCTAGTGACCCAAGGTGCATGACTCTAGTGACCCAAGGTCCATGACACGAGTGAGTTAAGGTGCATGGTTCAAGTGAAATAAAGTTGGTGGATCAAGTGAATTAAAGTCAATGGATCTAGTGAGTTAAGGTTCAGTAATTAGGCCAAATAAAATATAACTTTACTTACCATCTACAGATCCGAAATCTAATGCTGAATGTTCAATACTTCCAGCTGTACTAGGTGGTCCACTGATAGTATCTGCATACACACTTCGCATACCATGTTGTAAATATTCCGGTGGTAATGGAGGTGGTGGCATGGAAGCTAGAAGAACAATTAGAGAATTCATAGACATTGTCTAACACTTTGTATAACAGGGCTGATGTATATAATGTAGATGTATATAATACTTACTATGGCCATGTGAATCTGTAGGACTTAGACCTCTAGCCTGTGATAGTACAGACATAGCAGGGCTGGCCGCAAATAAATGTGGATGATATGGTACAACCGGTGATTCTGAATGACTACCGGGATGATGGTGATGCGGTGTAAGTCGGATCAACGACACATCAGATAAAACTGGACTACCGCTTGCTCTGCAAAAAGTTATAACAAATAATTTTATTGTATCATATTTATATGTATTGTGATTCCTACAAAGAGTTTCAGGTCAGCACCTGGCCCCTAAAGTTTTAAACCTGCCTAATGACTATATCATACTGTTAGTCTTTTCTCCCTTCTCCTGATCACACATTGCAAAACATACTTTTGATGAAATACAGCAGATTTTAAAGAAATACAGCAGATTTTAAATTCTAGAAATTTAATAGCACACGAAGCGAAAGCAGCATCTGCCATTCACACGCATCAACACTCTATGGTTACGTCAGTTCTATGGCTACGTCGGCTCTATGGTTACGTCGGCTCTATGGTTACGTCGGCTCTATGGTTACGTCGGCTCTATGGTTACGTCGGTCCTATGGTTACGTCGGTCCTATGGTTACGTCGGTCATATGGTTACGTCGGTCCTATGGTTACGTCGGTCCTATGGTTACGTCGGTTCTATGGTTACGTCGGTTCTATGGTTACGTCGGTTCTATGGTTACGTCGGTTCTATGGTTATGTCGGTTTATGGTTACGTCGGTTATATGGTTACGTCGGTTCTATGGTTACGTCGGTTCTATGGTTACGTCGGTTCTATGGTTACGTCGGTTCTATGGTTTCATCAGTTCTATGGCTACGTCAGCTCTATGGTTACGTCAGCTCTATGGTTACGTCAGCTCTATGGTTACGTCAGCTCTATGGTTACGTCAGCTCTGTGGTTACGTCAGCTCTGTGGTTACGTCAGCTCTGTGGTTACGTCAGCTCTGTGGTTACGTCAGTTCTGTGGCTACGTCAGTTCTATGGTTACATCAGCTCTATGGGTACGTCAGCTCTATGGTTACGTCAGTTCTATGGTTACGTCAGTTCTATGGTTACGTCAGTCCTATGGTTACGTCAGTCCTATGGTTACATCAGCTCTATGGTTACGTCAGCTCTATGGTTACGTCAGTTCTATGGTTACGTCAGTTCTATGGTCACATCAGTTCTATGGTCACGTCAGCTCTATGGTCACGTCAGCTCTATGGTTACGTCAGTCCTATGGTTACGTCAGTCCTATGGTTACGTCAGTCCTATGGTTACGTCAGTCCTATGGTTACGTCAGTCCTATGGTTACGTCAGCTCTATGGTTACGTCAGTTCTATGGTTACAACAGTTCTATGGTTACATCAGTTCTATGGTTACATCAGTTCTATGGTTACTTCAGTTCTATGGTCACGTCAGTTCTATGGTTACGTCAGTTCTATGGTCACGTCAGTTCTATGGTCACGTCAGTTCTATGGTCACGTCAGTTCTATGGTCACGTCAGTTCGATGGCCACGTCAGTTCGATGGCCACGTCAGCTCTATGGTTACGTCAGTTCTATGGTTACGTCAGTTCTATGGTTACGTCAGTTCTATGGTTACGTCTATAAACTTGCTCAGTTGTGCTCGCTCACCGGGTATTGTCTGATATATCAGGGTCAAAATCAACGAGCTAGCACACAGTTTTAGAGAAATCAAA